TAGTTTTATAGTTTCAACGTCTTCGCTTAACAGTACCAGATCATCAGCATAGCCCAGCACGGATGTTGTCCCGCCCAGATCCAATCCTTTCTCGGTTCGCATTACCTCCCTAATGGCATGTTCTAATGCCAAATTGAACAGTACAGGCGAAAGGGAATCCCCCTGTTTTAAGCCCGAACGAACCTCAAATTTTTCGGACAAATTATTACCGATTCTAACTTTGCTGAGTGTCTCCGTCAAGCACATCCTGACTAGATTTACTAGTTTTTTTGGTCTCTCTTTTTATCATACATAGAAAAAAGAATAAGAAAAATGAAAATAGAAGGTGTATTTACAAAACAATAAAAGAACACAAACCTGTTACAACATTCCATAATTACTTTATAATAAGTTAATTTAATTTCATGGTGGGAATCGAACTTGAGCAATTACGAGCCCGGAGTAGTAACCTCGCTCATAGGGAATGATTGTTCTTTTTTCCGTTGTTTCAAAAAGCAATTTCAAAAACCATCAGCTGCTACATGTTGGCAACTGATTATAGCTAAGGGAGAAATATGCGACCGCAACAGAACTAATCATTAGCGAACGCTCTGACTCAACGAGCTATTTCTGGACCTTCATAACTAACTGCAACTTCCTCTGCAGCATCTGGTGGTTCTTCCGTCGGGTTGGGGAGAGTGTTCCCGTCTGCTATGCACGTGGACTTGAAGTGGTCTCTCTAGGGCTTAAGTACCCCGAGGAAGAGTGGATAGTCTGAAGTGGTAGAAAAAACAAGCGAAGAAGACCCTAGAAGGACGGTTACGAAATGTGTCACCTTTTAGGAGTAAGGGCTCAGGACCAAAACATTCAGAAGATCTATCTAATCGTTATAATTTTGAGGATTACATTTTTTCCCTCCCTGCCGATGTAAGAGAATCTTTGTATATGTACCAAAAGCTAAAAGATTTTGATTTATTTTTAAAATAATCAAACTTTGTAATAGACCAAGGAAAAAAAAAAAAGATGTGTACTTAAAACCGCACAATAAAAGTGAAAACATCAACAAAGCAAGATTAATAATATGAAATATAAATTATAAATAATAGCTCATTATAAAGAGGATGGAATGCTGAAAATTTTCCTCGCTTACAGTAAACAGGTCCGATTTTTATTTTCCGAGATATTTTAAACCGTATCTTCTATAAAATACGTTATCATTTCGTTTTTGACATTACTTTTTTTTTTTCCTGTCATCACCACATATGCTGATGACACATGTATCCTATCAGTCAATAACGACCCATCTATTACATCCCAAACCCTTCAATCCCACATCACAAACCTTGAAGAATGGTGTCAGAACTGGAGAATTAAAATAAATTCCAATAAATCCCATCAAATTACCTTCACCCTTCGTCGTAAACCAATGACTTCCTGTCCTTCAGTATCCTTTAACAACACCTCACTTATTCCTGTTGAACAAATCCGTTACGTAGGACTCCATTTGGACAAACGTCTAACTTGGAATCCTCAAAACCAGATTGAAACGACAAGAAACCGCTCGACGTTTCCGACTACTTCAACACTTACTAGACAAACGCTCTAACCTTCCAATCAATTATAAAAGACTGATTTACATGACTATAATAAGGCCTATTTGGACTTACAGGGTTGAGCTATGGGGCTCCACCAAGCCTTCAAATTCCTCTCGCATACAGTCCTTGCAATCCAAAATCCTTCGTAAAATCCTCAATGCTCCTTACTTTGTTACAAATAAAATTATCCATAATGACCTTAATGTTCCTTATGTATCAGATTTGATCCAATCCAGATATCTGTCCTTCCATAATAAACTTCATAACCATCCCAACCCTCTTGTCTCTAACCTTGCTTCCTATTCGATTCCTGATAACCCTCCGAGGCGTCTGAAAAGAAGATGGCCACGTGATCTTCTAATATAGACATATTATTAGAGTGCTACCAATGGGTAGTTTCTCAACATGTGTTTCATGTCTTTATACCAATGTGCAAATTTACTAGATGTATTTTTTTGTATACAGTTGTAAATATCATTTAAAATAAATAAAAAAAAAACTTTTTTTTCTTTTAGTCTCCCTAAGGCGGCGTCGCGTTAAGATACAATTTTGAATAATAACTCTTTACAAAGAGGACGAAATGCTGAACATTTTACTCGCTTACAGTATGCAGGTCCGATTTTTAGCTTCTGAAATATTTTAATTAATTCGTATCTTCTATAAAATTTGTTATCATTTGGTCTTCGACACTATTTTTTCCTTTTAGTCATCTTTAGACGGCGTCGTATTAAGATACAATTTTGAATAATAGATGTATATAAAGAGGATGGAACGCTGAATATTTTCCTCGGTTATAGTATGCAGGTCCTATTTTCAGTTTCTGAGATATTTTAATCCGTTTCTTCAATAAAATTCGTTATCATTTGGTATTCAACACTATTTTTTTTCCTTTTAGTCTCCCTAACACGACGTCCTGTTAAGATACAATTTATTTTTCTCTACACATTAGTTGATTTGATTTATATTATATCTATGTATATGTATTTTAATGCAATTTCGAGGAAGCTATCATGGTAAAATTAAAAAAAAAAACTATAAAAATTTAGTAAATCATTAAAAAAATATGTTACTACAACATTTATTATACGAGTTGTTTCGCATAGAAACCTAATATCACAACTGTCATTTATAGAACATTTTGTTTTTGAAAAAAAAATGATTTGTGATTGTGTTTATTTCTATTGAACTTCAACTAGCTCGTCGTTAAACTTCACACATGTTTTTATATTACAGTTAACTCCAAACAAATAAAAAGTTGAATTTTCCTATGAATTTTTTGTTCCATCCATTTTACTTGTGAAAATATAAATATTAAGTATATATCACTACTGTTAGTGCAAAAGGTCGTATGTAAATATTTTCAATTTTTATTCTATTTGTGCTAAATGTGACATATTTTAGTCTGCAACTTATACAACCAGTCTCCTATGATGGAAAATAGCAGAGAACAATAAAATATGAAATTATACTAATTAATCATAAAGAAACAATTAGTTTTTATGTTCTCGTGTAAAACATTCAATTTTTACGTACGACTTTTGTACTAATAATAGTAATATTAATGATCAGTATGCACTGGAATTATTTTTTAATCACGAATCATCAAATATGCAATCTGTAAATGCAAAGCTCTTTCACATTTTAGTATTCAATGAACAAAACTCCTGAATATCAAAACCGTATATGTTGAGGGATTACTGAATTTCTGAAAACGACTTCTCCCAGAGATTTATTCTATATTTTTAGCCAATGAAAACGGTGAGGAAACTATATTGATTTTACCTGGAAATTTTTTTTTTTTCTTTCAAGCTATGGTCCGAGGAGCAAAACGTATGGAGACCCCTGTGTTATATTAATTAATATATTGATTTATACGATTCATCGATAAAACAATAAAAACAGTAAAACGTATTCAAAATCTCGAATATCGAAACCATATTTGGCCTGCAAAGAAAATGTGCAAATAAGGTCTTCGTCGCGTGGGTTCGACGATATGCAAATAAGGTGTTTGTTTATATCAGTAGGGTCCCAGCTGGAAGATAGGAGCACTGTGCTTTACGATCATGGAGCCTAGATGTAAACGATGGAAAAAAAATAAATCGAAAATAACTCGTGAGACAGCGCTACCAGTGACGGCTAATCGAATAAATAAGACCAAAAAATAAATCGAGTCATGGGAGAAAAACTATCGATATATGTCTGTAAAATGCAAATTGAGTAGGCTGAGGACATGGCCCGTTTCTGAATTATGGTTTCCTTTCAGAACAGCTGATGTCCCCAAGTATATCGCTCTTGTTTTGTGATAAAACATCATGAAGGAGAAATGGTCGACTAGATAATATGGTCGAGAAGTTGGTTAGAGATTGTATTAGAGTAAAAGAGTAATTAATTTTAAGGCAACGTTTCGGTCTTAGTTCAGGCCTTCGTCAGGGTTGAGAAAAGTAAAAATATTATCGGCTAATTAATAATAAGAAGTGAATACAAATTAAGCTGTTTAAGAACAATTATTAAAATATACATTGTGTCTCAGTTCAACTTTTTTGTTGAAAACTTTGTCTACAATCATCTATCAGAGTTTGGCTGTATAATAGCAGGAATAAAAATATAATTAAAATAGTATAAGTAATACATTATCAAAAATTATATTATAAGAGGCTAATTGACTGAAGAAATCAGTTACTTGGTTAAAGGAATATATGAGAAACTTTAAAAGAACTCAAGTTATCAAGATTAGTTATCAAGATTATTTTTTTTTAAATATATAATTTTAAGAAAACTATAATTAAAACACTATTCTCTTTTATTATGATGTAGAGATGGTTGACCGTGATATCATATGAGATGGAGTTAATAGGGGGGGGATGCGGTCAAATAAATACTAAATTATATAAATAGTACTATTTAATTATTATGCCGGCGTTTCGACACACCTTGCAGGTCTTTATCAGGGCGTGGGATGTGGCACTGCGGGAGGCAGTTGAAACACCGATGAAGACCTGCAAGGAGGGTCGAAACGTAGGCATAATAATTTAAAAAATACTATTTATGTAATTTAGTATTTATTTATAAACTTCAGAGTCATCCCAACCCTCTCGTTTCTAACCTTGCTTCCTCTTCAATTCCCGATAACCCTCCGAGGCGTCTGAAAAGAAGATGGCCCCGTGATCTTCAAATGTAGTCATATCATTAGAGTGCTACTATTGGGTAGTTACTCAGCAAGTGTATTCATGTCATTATATCTATTACGTCCAAATTTACTTGATGTATTTGTGTAATACAGTTGTAAATGTCATTAAGAAAAAAAACAAAAAAAAAAAGGATTTATTTGACCGCAACCCCCGATTAACTCCTTCTCATATTCTCTTTTATGATTTTATTTTATTTATATTAAACATTTTAATAATGAACAACTTATCAGAATATTTTACATATATTTTATTCCTAGTCATTATATCTCATAATTTTATATTTCGATTTATCTTATACAAAGCAATTTTTATTCACTTCTTATAACTTATTATTTAACATATCATTTTTATATGTTTATTATTTATAATTTTTCTTCCTCTTTCTTATTATCATAACATTGTTATCTTGTCTTTCCTCGGCCATAGTGAAGCACTGAAACCTAGACAGAAAAGTTGACAGTTTTTTTTATTTTTCTCTGTTACTGAAACCTCCAATCAACTTCCTAACCTAAATAATCTATAGTCGATTATTTCTGCACAACGATAAAACATTACTTTGGACCATTTTTTGTGCCAGCATATCCCTCACATTTCGTGCATATGTTCTCCTGAAGACACCATACCCAGATGTTCCTTCAACTTCGGTATTGTCCTCCCAGAACAGAATACATCCGTCAATAGCGGAGAGAATGAGGACCTCTTTCTGATTGAGCTCCATTGTCCATGAGGTGCTTTCTCCGCAAGGACATCGCAGTTTCTTGGAACTGGGGCTCTTATGGGAATAATTGCAGGAGGTTTTTTCTTCCCTTCTACGTCACGGCTATTCAAAACAGCTCCACTTAAGGGAAAGAGGCTAGGAAACAAAGAAAGCCCCCAAATTGCTTTGAAAAGAATAATTTGTTCCATTGTTGGTTTTGCTCGTTTTATTTTTTCATTTTGTTTTGCCACTATCCCAAACCTATAATATCCCAAAGATGATAGCCTAAAGCTAATTAATTTAATCTTATTATTTATTATAATATATACAACTGTTTAAAAAAAAATACATATAGTAAATTTGTACAATGGATATCATGACATAAAACACTTGTTGAAATACTACCTACCGGAAGCACTCTAATAATATGTCTACATTAGAAGATCACGGGGCCAACTTCTTTTCAGACGCTTCGGAGGATTATCAGAAAAGAGGAAGCAAGGTTAGAAACGAGAGGATTCGGATGGATTGGGCCAAATCTAAAACATAAGGAGCATTAAGGTCATTATGAATGATTTTATCTGCAACAAAGTAAGGAGCATTGAGGATTTTCCGAAGTATTTTGGATTGAATATGAGAGAAATTTGATGGTTTGGTGGAGCCCCATAGCTCAACTCCGTAAGTCCAAATAGGCCTTATTATAGTCATGTATATGAGTCTTTTGTAATTAATTGGAATGTTAGAGCGTTTGTCTAGTAAGTGTTGGAGTAGTCGGAAACGTCGAGCGGTGTCTTGTCGTTAATTTAGGATGAGCGTTTTAAGATGTGTTTTTACAGGATTTTGCCAATGATGGGTAAAAGAGAGGTGGACGGTAAGTAAGTAAGGATATCTGTAAGTAAGGAATAGAATGGCTTTTAGAGGAAGATGTTTTAAGATCAGGGATGTAATTAGGTCATGTCCAGGAGCTTTGCGGGAGGGTAATCTGTGAATGATGTTGGATATTTCTGTGGGATGAAATGCTTTAGGTGGAAGAGACATTTGGAAAGAAATACCCAGTTCTGATTCAATACATTCGATGTGAGTTGAATATAGGGTATCAGGATATGGTTTAAAAGTTTGGAAGAGATGTTGATCGGATATTTGAGCTTTTTCTTCGTCGGATTTGCACCAGGTGTGAGATTCAATAAGAAGTGGGTGATTTAAAACTTTAAATTTCAGAAGTGAAGCTAATTTATATATATATATATATATATATATATATATATATGTAGAAGGGATGCTGGAATAATATTAATTTTATAATTGGTAAATGGTTGACTGTCGTGGATAATGAAGAGAAGAATAGTTGGGGTGCTCAGTCAAAAAGGAAGGCAAAAACAGATGATAATATTTTATGTTATCATTGAAGGAATTTAGCCGACTATACTACATATCATAGGATATATGTAATCAGACAGCAGTCATTTTTGAGATGTTTTATTGATGCCGACGTTTCAATCCAAAAATGTAGATCATCATCAAGGCGTTTGCAGTACTGAGGATGTTCAAGTAGTGCAAACATGCTATGATGTTGATCATTTATCTCCTGTGATTTTATTTTATCATTTTTGGCCTCGTTTTGGCGCTATAATTACGAAAAGACAGGGTTTTCTTCTATTTTACATTTCGTATAGAATGAGCTTAAACAGATGTGAATCTTTTTTAAAAAGTTTCATTTTAACAGTTTCTGTAAAATGTTTAAAAAAAAAAAAAAGTTCTGGAAAACTTTTACTTGAAAAGTTACAAGGAAAAAATCAGAAAAAAATAAAAAATAAAGATTCATTCATACTGAAACTTATTAAATGTAAAAGTTCTAATTTCATTCTAAGTCCTGTGATAAATCACTTATCATTCCTATAAAATTCATTTAACAGTCTTAGTGGACCCTATTGAAGCACCTGACTAAGTTCTATCAGAATCTCTATCAGCAATCAGAATGTCATCCCACCGACCGTACTGGATCCGCTACACGAAGTAAAGTTTTTAAAATATGCGGTGACTCCATCGATGGCATCAGATTTAACTGGACAAAATGTCGCCATCGGTGCGTTCAGCACTGATTTTAGGAACTTATCTGTCTCCATAACATGAGAGAATGAGTTCGATTGTACGAGAAGAATCGAATTCTTGCTCGTGGTCATTTTTAATAGAGCTAAAAATACTTCATATGAGAAAGCCTAGTTATGAATCGGGTGACCTTTTGATAAGGCCACCATCTCCTTGTTCCCTCGAGCTCTTTAATAGTCCTTTTATCCTTCCAACAACCCCCGGAGTGTCCTATTGATGGCTAACAAGGGGCGGGACGGCTTTCCTTTAATTTAGCGGTGAGTGGAGGACTATCGCGCAAGAAAGGTGAGGATGAAAGTTTTTGAAAGTGTTCTGCTGCTTCTACTTCTTGCTATCTGTGCCCAGGATCTCGGCTACCGAGAAAGCTCAAAGAAGTCGAGGAATATATCAGAGCGGTCCAGGAGTGGTGCTGAGGTCATCCCGTAATTGAGATCGTGAATGTCCTGGGAGGCTACTCCGAGGCTTTATGTAACGCGATCTTCTCGAGAATCCTTCTCGGAAGGACGTCGTCAAAACACTCCAGAAAAAAAAAAACTGTGGTGTGCGCTTCAGACCACACGAAACAAGTGAAAACATCAACAACGCGAGGTTAATAATATTTAATGAAATGCTGAACAGTTTCCTGGCTTACAGTATGCAGGTCCGATTTTTAATGTCTGAGATATTTTAATCCATATCTTCCATAAAACTCGTTATCATTGTTTTTCTACAATATTTTTTTCCCTTTTCGCCTCTCTAACACGTCATCGCGTTAAGATAAAATTTTGAATACTGACTCAATACAAAGAGGATGAAATGATGAACGTTTCTCTTGCTTACGGCATGCAAGTCCGATTTATAGTTTTTGAGATATTCTAATCCATATACAAAAACACTTCAATTAGTCGACTTCAGCCGACTTGATGCGAGCGTTACACATCGGAGATCTGGCGGTTCAATCTAATTCACTCTCCACAAAAAAAAAAAAAAAAGGGCCTAAATAATTTGTCACCTAAAAAAAAAAATTCGAACGCTTAAAGCAGAAATGACAATCAAACGAAAAATTGAAATCTCTCCATTTATCCTTTTCTAGTTATCTTAAACTATTTTGTTTTCAAGTAAAAGTCCATTTCATCACGTTTTTCTTTATTTCTTTGATAATTTTTAAGATGACGTTTCTTCTAAAACCATTATCAAGTCTTTTTCTTCATTGACAATCTTCTTTTCGCGGTACAGATCCCATATTATCAAATTATTAACGTCTATCTCAAACAAAATGGTTTCAACCTATCCTAAGCTACAACTATTTTATCTAGAAAGATTCTAAAAAAATCGGTCGCTTTCTCAATAAATAAGTTAATGAGATACCAAAAATGAAGAATGATCATTACCTTTCCACTTCAATCATAAAATAATTTGATCACAAAATAGAGAAAAAAAAGGCATTAAAAATTATTGAGCCTCTTGGCCTTTATAACCTCGTTATTTTTGGCTGGAGTTCACATCAAATGGTCCGACATTGTATTTTTTTTTCAAAGGGAGCCTAAAAAAAATGTCGATTTTTTATTTTTTTGTATTTTGGGCGATCAATTCTCAACTTCACTAGTAAACATGTTTTTGGCAAATAGGGTTTGTACAGTTTCAAGTCATCTCGGGAAAAAAAAATGTCTTTAAATAATCAAAATTTTATGTATTTAATTTCCACCTTTTGCGTGAATTCCGATGATTACATCGCGACAAATTAAATGGGCTTGTAAAATTGTTGGACATACATTACTAACGAAAGAATTCCTAAAAGGTTAATATTTCCTATAAACGTCCGAGGGGTAAACCGAAGCGAAGGTGGGAAGATTACATCTGAAGGGACTGTATTTGGACGGCGACCAGTGGAGAGAGGTCTGTAGACAGCGATTTTTAGTGTCGGCATCGAACCTTCGAGTTCACTAAGCCTTTTATTATTATTTATAATTCCCCTCTTACAATAATATTCTATTGGATAGCACTATATTTCAGTACCTATATATTTATAAATATGTACATATATATCGCATATATGGCAAACTATTATCAGCATACAAAGAGGTAGAAGGGTTAGGTTAGGAAGTGAACGTCGAACGGCATATCATGAAGTGCCTTTCATGTCTGGGAACTTCACGATCTGGAAACATCGCCTCTTCGTGGTGCAAGCCATCCTTTGCATCATCTTGCAGCCTCTGGTCTTGAGGGCCAAAGTGCATGATGGTGTGGAAATTATTCATTTCGTTTCTATATAAAGAGAAAAATTGGTGCAGTGAGCGCATCATAATTTTCACTGATCACCCTATTTTGAGTATCTATACGAGATGTAAAACACTAGTAACGATTCCATTTTCACCTCTCAGGAGCGATTAATTTTTATAAATGTGGTATCGAACAAAAGGAAATTTCATGGAACAGTGAAAAATTATAATCTAGATCCTTAAATTAATGCAACAATTTTTATATTTGAAGTTATTGAAAAAATGAAGAAGTTTCTATCTTTCAAGACGGAACAACACTCTAAAAATCCCTAGTAAATATCCTTTGGAACGAACCGGATCCTACGTTTTAAAGTTGAAAAGGTGCCATTTTCGAGATAAACTGTAATTCATATCGAAAAACCATTCAAAGTAATAAACCATAAGCTGTGTAATAATTGCTATTAGATGCTTATCTGTTAAAAGTGGTCAAACTTTTATGATTTTAATTCTTTTTCTTCATAATTAAAATGGCTTTCTTTTCTTCATTATTTTTATATTTGCTCTAAAATGTACTTATTTTTCGCTCCTGAATGAAATTTAACGAAGTTTACGAACGTACTGATGAAGTGTTCTGACAAATCCTGAGAATTAATAAAAGATAGTGCGATATTGATTTGGTTTCCAAAAACATTTAATCAAAAACTATAAATCTCCTGAAATATTAGTACTTATTTTCTTTTTCAACAGATTTTTAGTTCTAAGGGGCACCTAGTTTTTGGAATAAATTTTATTTTGAAAAAGGTAGGGATTCATTTCAACACACTTTAATTCTCCTAGATCCGTCGAATTGTGGAAATATCTGAGTTTTGAAAATTATTGTAGTTGTAGTCCGGTTTTTGAAATTAAAATTCATCTATTCTACACAATAGAATTCTCTTTCGTTTGTTACCCCATTCACCAAAATCCATTGCTCCTAAGTTCTGGAAAGAAAAATATAACCATAACAAACTGTGGGGGTATTCCTTGATTAAATTTTCAAAGAAAATTTTCATTTGGTGTATGAGCCGATTCTTAACAGAAAAGACCAATTTTGAATTTTTTTTTTTAAGGTTATATTTTCATAGTTGTCTTGGGATAATTATATCTTTAGTTTTCAATGATTAAACTATCGATATTTATGAGAGCTAACTATGAACTACAACTACAACCCATGAAAGTTCTTTGGTTCAATGCTTCGTTAGGAACGTCTGTTTTAAGGCAAAAGAATGTACAAGAAGGTGATTGGGTCAAGATCGCGCTCTCTAAATATATTCGTGAAATATTTTAAACACTTTATAGAGGTCAATCGACCCTAGGATCGATCCATGGTTAATAAAACATAATAAATAATTATCCGAATTATTTTGCCCATCAGACGAATTAGAATCCGTAACCTTGAGCTTAGGAAGTCAGTGCCTTGATTGCACTAGGGGTGAAGGACAGCTATCTAATAGGAGATTTTTTTTTTTATGCCTGGGAAACTTTTAAAACAGGCCATTAAGAGGAGTCAACAATGACCCAGCATTGAGAGGAAGTGAAAGGAAATGCTCTCGGATTTCTGAGCAGCCTTGTCCCGGAAAACTATTTTCCGCTCGAGGGGGCCCCCTGTAGGGACTACGCCCCACTGGCTACAGTTCGTGGGGGAGGGGGGGTCGAGTCATCGCCTCCTTTTCCACCATCTCTGTCATCTTCTTCTGTAGAAGAAAGTGGTTCGTTTCCAAATCAACAGTTCTTTTTTTATTGTTTATTAATACACTATGGAAGCAATGATTGGAGTTATTTTCTTCCTTATTAAAATAAATTAATACTTTTAACTAGTTATTTAGCTATTTCTTCATACTCAGAATTTTTAACATTTAAACAAAAATTATTTAGAAAGGAAGGAGATGGTCCGGGGTTGCGGTCATAAATAGATGAATAATCTTATTCATAGTAAATGAAAGTATGGTGTGTATCACCGTTGTGTATCAGTTTCCAAGTGTAATAAACGAATGAGAATTCTATTGTGTAGAGTAGATGAATTTTAATTTCAAAACTTGAAACCTGGCTACAAACACAATAATTTTCAAAACTCGGATCGTTCCACAATTCGACGGACCTTGTAAGACACGAAAGATAAGTTGACATTTTTTAATCAGTAAAGTGCAGGAAGGAGAAGCGGCCTTACGAATGGAATTCTCTATAATAGCCAAGTTGTTCCCGTCGAAAACTCCTTGAAACATCCCGATTCCTGAAGGATTGACAACTCCTATAATTAGGATTCCCAACCCTTAGGTACCTGGATGCGTTCCTCCTTCTTCAGTTAATGGTCGTCCTGAATGGAGATTGAAAAAAAGGCAGACAGCGATAAGAACTAGCTCGTTAGAAGGTCCTATCAGACAGGCAGGATTCCGTAGCAAAAGGTCAGTCGGGTTCCCAGGTGTACCTCAAGGTACTGCCGTCGGACCTTATCTCTCTCATCTCCTCTATCTATCTCTCTCTCGGTGGCTATAACGGTACGCGCTTTCTATATACGAAATTGTACGGAAAATGGATCAGAGTATTTGCGTTAAATTTTGCTATCGAAACGGAATAAATTATTGAAGGAAGTTAGTCGAACAGTCGATGTTCAAGGGCCAAGGGCCAAATAGTCAGAACGCAGTTATTTTTAAGGTCATTTATAATGGCCGACGTTTCAACCCAAAAATGTGGGTCATCATCATGGGTCAGCGGATGTTAATAATTCGATAAAAAGGAGCCTGTACCACGGACTATTAATAATTTGATCTAATTGCAAACTGTATCATACGGTTTTTTTTATATTACATCACTAGCTAACCCGTGGGAATACTTCGCACAAATCTTATATTTGTATCAGATTTCAATACATAAATGGCTTTCCTTTCCTTTCCTTTTAGTAATGTTTCTAAGCAAAGCTTTAATACTTCTATTTAGTAAGTTATCGGTTTATAAATATTATGATCTATATCCATCCATAGTTTACCCTTGCTAGTTTCATTAAATTTATAATTATAATATTATATTTTCCTTTAGTTTACAAAAGCATCTAAATATTTCCTTTAAACATCTGATGAAGGCTGAATACTTTGGATTTAGTTCTCTGGAAGGAAAACGGTTTGAGCTAGCAGGCTGAAAAATAAAATTTTACTAAAATATAGCTGATTAAAACAATTATTACTTAAATAAGTTTAAAGTTTTTGAGTAATTCAAAACTGAAAGCAAAAAATCTTTAAAGTAGATTTATTTATTTATTTGGTATTTTGTTGCCTCTACCCTGTAGAGTCATTGGCAACGCCTTTAAATTACACTCTGTTGCAGAGTTTTATCACTTTCGTGAACGATTTCGTCAGGGTCAGTTATAATGTCTTGTCCACTCTTTATACCAGGCAATTTCTTTGTTTTGGAGATCACCTTAATGCTTTTCACTTAATTCCAGAGCTCCTTCATTGAAATGCTTTGATGTAATGAAGATACGAAGTCTTCCCATGACAATCTTTTGCTTTTCGTTATATATCGTAATCTTTGTAGCTCACTGTTTGAGTTTCTTGTAAGTGTGTTTCTTGGAGACAAACTAGTATAGAGTTCTCTTCGCTTATTGTCATTTTTAGGTGCTCTAAATGTCGGAAAAATCTGTTACAATTCCATTGAATGATTGTTTTCATTTTGAAAGTAGATTTAATACTAGATGTTTAGAACGCTATATCTTTGCACCACATACTCCGATTTCCATGATTTTTGTAGGGAATTCAGTAAGCTTTCAAATATGTATAAGCAAAAAATTGTGTCCTTTTCGAGTTATTCCCTAATTATTACATTTTTAACGTCTTGATTCGTTAAGACAGCACCACCGTTTGAAACCTCCCACTTTTACATTTACTTTTATTTAAATCCAGGTATAAAATTAGGAATCAAAATTACGATTAGCGCACTCTACGTGATATTCCCTTCCTATTGATACCTCATTCGTCAAAAATTCATCACCCTGGAAAGCAGGAAAAGGGATATATATTTGAGAAATAATATATAAGAAGATGTGTTAAATGTAAACTGATTAACTTAAATAACTTAAAGGTGGGGATTCGTTAGAATCTGAAGCTTCTTTACACACACACATACAAGTTCATAACATCCTATGTCATTACTTAAAGTTATTCTCAGTTTTCTTTCTATTCCATTTTTAAAAATATGGAAAATGATTACATATACATATACATATACATATATATATATATATATATATATATATATATATATATATATATATATATATATATATATATATATATATATATATATATAATAAAAAATAAAAAGGCATAATCCATGCTATTTAGTATATATAAAAAGATAGAAATAAAATTCAAGCGTTATCCAATAAACTTTGTATAGATTGAACTTGAAACCATAGACCAGATCCTGGAGACCACAACCAGAACTGGGACTAGTCTTGCGCTGTGCCCTTACCTGATCTTCCAGGAACCTGAAGTACACATCTGGAGCCTCCAGTAGGTCTTAATTAGCTTTAATGGGTTCCTATTTAGCTGTGTGCTCTTTTTGCGGGATATATCTTTGTCTTGTTAGTTCTTGTCACCAGTTGTTCTTCTTGCTGCACCGAAAAGGTAGTTCAATTCTTTTTTTTTTTTTCTTCTTTTAAAGTTGTCTTTATTTAGTGCTAGACTAAATGTCTACATTCAACTTTTCCACTGAATCCAGAACGATATGTAATTAAGATCCTGTATTTAAGAACATCTATAAAATTTACTGATATTTTTTATACATATATTTTTCATGGTACAAACAAAAAATATTTTAAAATCGCGTTATCTATACTAATGGTGCTTTGATTTCGATGATACTTCTTTCATTTTTAAGGCAATTTAAATATCTTCGAAACATTTAATCAAAATATCGACAAAAAAGCGTATTCTTTTTGAGTTAAACCATATTTAATTTTAACATCCATCGTAACTTTTTTTCAAGCTTCTTTTCGTTGAAGTATGTTAAATAGATAAATTTAAAGGATATCGAGAAAATGACTTTAGCTAAGTTTCATTGAAATCGGTACATCCGTTTAGGCGCTACAGTCTGTAGGAACGCAGATTTTTCTGCATTTTTATTTTTTTTCTACTTTATTAATTAATCGAATTCTTTCAAAAGTTATATGTAGCATTTTTTCGTAACTCTTGATAATGCGAAATGGTTAACTTTTTAAAATAAACGATATTAAAGGTACTTTAGAGGAAGACATATATGAACATTGGGTATTTAAGCCCTGTAAAGTGATATCAATGGGGATAAGACCTAAATGATATTAAAGACCACTTAATTATACAATGATACACCGAGTTTGATCAAAATCGTTAGAGTCGTTTTTGAGAAAATTGTAAAAATGTGTTTCAGCGTTCATATAAAGTGGTACTTCCGGTAAGCCGATTTTAACGAAAACGTTGCTGTCACATCCTGCTCATATACAAACCTTAAATACTTAATATCAGTTTCGTAGTACTTTTCGTTTATGAGCTAGACTGTTAGCACATACACACACACACACAGACTATTTTGCGACATTTGGTTATTTGAACTCAGGGGACCTCAAAACATGTATTTCCGTTGAAAACTGAGATTCCAAAATTTTCACGATCGCAATACTTACCCTTACTATATATCACATATATACGTAAGTGAAAGTAAAAATAAATAATAAAACAGTATTACTTCAACTCATGTAAACTCATAGTCCATGATATCCGCCTAAAACTTTAAACCTTCATCTCATCGTGACTTACAAAAATTTAATTTACGAAAACTCTCCACACTTCTGTAAGAAATCTTAGGGTAATGTTTGAACAACATCTGCCCTGGAATAATCACATTTCCCAAATTATCCGAAAGTCCATTGCTACCCTCGAACAGTTCCTCAGATTCCGCGACTCTATGCCACTTAAAATTCGTTAGCTCCTAGTTTATTATAAATTATGCCATTATTCACCATGATTTTATTTATTACCTATTTTATTACGACGTTTCGACCATCACTAGGGCCAGTTTCAAGTCTTGTTGAGTTCTCCATTACTTATTCATTATTAATGTCGTATTAATTTGTTCAGTGAAAAATTAAATTGTCCTGCTATTTAAGAGTTTTCCCTACGTCATTTCAGTCCTTCCAGTGCCTCTAGAAAATGGCCCTAGTGGTACTCGAAACGTCGTAATAAAATAGCTAATAAATAAAGTGTTGGTGAATAATGGCCTAATTTATATAACAAATAAATGTTTTTTGAGTAATATTATTTATAGTTAAAACAAAACAAACTATGTAATTTGCCCTTGTGTGATTGCAACTTGCCTGGAGCCTGGTACCCATAAAGTTCCTCCAAGTTCAAACAAAAACCCAAGACAATCCTCTCTCCAGGGATTCCTTCTTAGTTAATAGCTCTGTTATTATCCTTAAGTTCATTTCCTCAACTTCTTGCAAACTTCTTCAGCCAGGCTCCTTCCTTCCCATAGGGCAATAAAGGTCTCCCTCCTCTCACTAACCTTCTGGGAAAGTGCGAAGAAATAAGACGAAGGGTTCCTAAGAAATCCTCAGGATACCAATAGCTTCGCAGTTTCTGAATCACTCTAGGAACTTGGAGGGTTTTTTTTTTTATCTTAATCGTCTTTTTTAAACCAATTATATTCCAATGTATTCTGAGAAAAAATCTTTGTAATCTCATCCAAGAAGAGAAAAAAAAAACAGATATTTATTAAGAAGGAAAAAAAAAATTTTCTATTCTGCATTCTCCAGAAACCATTAATAGTCCGTGGTGTGGCCTAGCAAAATGTTTGTATCGAATTTATTTATTTTAGAAAGAAAAACAAAAGTGGAGAATACGATTCGCTAACCCCCCGTGAAATTCTGAATTCAACAGTACCCCATTCCTGGTATTTGAGCATGACAAGAGCTTATATTTGGTACAAAACCGATTTCGAGCCTTACTGTAATAATATATGTATGGATGTACGGATTGTATCATATTAATATATTCATTTTGACACTAGCTGATTATTATTGCTAGCTGCAAACCGATACTTGCTTGCATTAGCGAAATAAAAAAATTTCGTAATATCTTCATTACCCCAACATCGCCATTCCACGTCGAGACCGCAATTTCTGTAAGTTACAGAACAGTCATTAACCAACGTGGGCTTGTTGCTTCAGTCTAAGTGGCCTTCGTTCTAGCAAAGTCACTTTCTCTATTCTACTCTCAAGGACTTAGAGTGATCTTTAGTCTAACTGGGTCTTAATAGAACTAAAATATATTACTATGATACATTTTGTAGTAATAATAATAAAATAAAATATTAATTATATATACCAGCCCACAGCATTTCCCAGCATTAGTCCTTGACCCGTGGGAAAAACCATGTCATATTTTAAAATAAGGCTCTGTTTACTTTTACACCAAATTTATTTTAATTTTCATAACGTTTCGGCCGGTTAGCCATCTTCAAGC